AGACAACCACCTCGCAGCAGCACAGGGCTGAGGCATTGGAGCTAGCAGGACACCACTCTCTGCCTCAGGAAGTTCAGTCCAGTCCAAGAGGGAGGGGATAGACGGACAGCCCTGAACAGGGAAGGTAACCTCTGAGGAAGGAGCTTGTGCAGTAAAAAGCCACAACTTGGAGCCACAGGGAGGTGGGGGTGGGGAAGCAGAAGCATCTCTGCCCACAAAGCAGAGCAGCAGAGACCCCTCCCTAGGAGGTCAAGGGCACTCACCATGGTGTCCTGATGCTCTAGTCTGAAGCCCTTTCTGTCCTCAGCTCCACCCAGCCTTTGCCCTCTTCTCCTCCTACTTCCCTTCTAACCTGCCAAAGGCAAAAGTTTAGAAGCACCAAACTGAAAGCCACCTCAAAACCATCAGGCTCAGAAAAGCTTAAATTATTCACAAGATTTCATGCTCTTGTCTCTCCCTAAGCAATCACAATTGGTATCTTCTCTCTAGATGGCTGGACAGCCTTGGTGGGAAGGGCAGGGTGGGTGGAGTCTGCTTGCTTTCTTTCTGGTAGACAATGAGTCTCCTGAATTGGCCTCTGTGCCCCTCAGAGCCTCAGTTTGCACAGGGCAAGTGAGGAGTGGAGTCTCGCTTTGAGGGTCCTTGTGGGATTTCAATACAGACAGGGTGTTTTGTGTGTGTCTAACTTTAGTTCCATCAGCCTTCATGTCCTTACATCCATGACTAAGAACAAGAACTCTGAAAAACTCAGAGGTCATGATGACCCCCACCCCCCCATCCAGTCCTAATTCAGTCTAACCCTGAACCATTTTAATGGAGTCATTTCTCAATTCTCTCTTCAACGCCTTTGGGATAATTTCAATCAAATGTGGCCTCCTCTGTGGGCTCTCTGGGGTTTCTCCAACCCTTACTGTAGTGATCCATCCATCAGCAATGACTCAACTATCCATGACGTTCAGTGGCCTCTGGGTAAAGCTGGGTGTTTTCTATTGTTCTAGTTCTGTTTCTGTGTAAGCACCTTTGTGACCTAGAAATTTTTCCCTCAAATCAAATGCATTATTTTGTGGATTTAAAACATCTCATTTCTATGGACTATATGTGTTATAAGAGACTATCTTGATGAACTTTAAATACTTCCTCACACTTAAGCTACATTCATTCATTCATTACCATCATATTTAAGTAGTCAACAAATGTTTATTTAACTATTGCTAAACAGTCAATAAATAGTTATTTTTTATAAACCTTTTTTTTTTTTTTTTAGTTATTGGCGGACACAACATCTTTGTTTGTATGTGGTGCTGAGGATCGAACCCGGGCCGCACGCATGCCAGGGGAGTGCGCTACCTCTTGAGCCACATCCCCAGCCCCAATAAATAGTTATTTTTATGACAAGCTCTAACCAAGATTTAATATCGTGGTAGAAATTAAAATAAACTATCAATTAGAATGGATTTTATATTGCTATATATCACCTCAATCTGTTTACCTGCTTATCTTTACAGAGATCTGCCTATTATCTAACCATTCATCTACCTGCTATCTCTAGCACTGTATTATAAGCTTCTAAAAACTAGGAAGAGAAACTGTATCCATCTCTTTACAACACAAGAATGTTTTCTTCTGGCTAGTAGTCAAAACACAAAGGTCATTGACCAGTTCATTCATGACAGTATCTGTGCCATGTGTTGGAAATGGAGCTATAAGATGCCATATGCATTTATGGACTTTCATTTCATTAGGATAAAATAGGAAATATTAACGTTAACGAAGTGAATAGAAATGTCACAAAATATCAAGTTAATTCTCAATACAAAGGGATAAGCAAATGACAGTGATATACAGAGAGAGTGACACAGTCCTACCACATGAGGAGGTAGGCACTGAGCTGACTGCTGAGCAGGAAGGAAGAGCAGGAAGAGGTGAAGATAAAGGCAGGTAGCACTGCAGCTGAAAAGATGTGCAAAAGCCCAATAATCAGTGCACATGGTGAATACAGAGAGAAAGAGAAAGCCCCTGCGACCTCTCAGCAGATTAGGAGAGCAGATGTAGAGAGAATCCTGGACAAGAATGGCGTGTGGGAGTGGTCAATAGATGGTGTGTTCCCTTACCCATCGGCCAAAAGATCTTTCCAAAATATTTCAGATGGTAGAACTTATTGGCTCAAAATATTCAGTGCTATAGCCTTTGGAAGGAAATCTGAAGCCTATGCAATAGCGGGGCCATTGTTACGGCCCTAGCACCTGCGTATCTTCCTTGGTACATCCCTGTGCTTCTCTTTTATTTCATCATCAAAAACCCTTCAGTGGCTTCATCCACCTCCCCCTGCCATCTTTTCCCAGTATATTCCTGTTCATGATCCTTATCAAGGCCATGGTATACAGTAGGTGGTTATCTACTTATTTGTTTACTCCTTTGTTCCTGGCGCTGTCACTCACCTCCTGAGCTAGGACTCTATTTTGCCCAAGGTTGTACATGGGCCACATGGATAATGTTGAAAATATAATGGCCATGCAACAAATATGGGTTGGGTAAATTAATAATGAAAAAGTTGATGCATCTGGAGACCAAGTAAGAATTCTGGAAGCTACTTGGTCAGTTTCAATGAAGGATTATAGTGTCTTGGACTCAGACACTGGTAGTAAATATGGAAAGAGGTGGGCACATTTGGTGGAATCAATTGGAAGTTTATTTTTTTAATATTTATTTTTTAGTTGTAGTTGGACACAATATCTTTAGTTTATTTATTTATCTTTATGTGGTACTGAGGATCGAACCCAGAGCCTCACACATGTGAGGCAAGCACTCTACCACTAAGCCACAACCCCAGATGCTCAGTTGGAAGTTTTAATGGAGCACATGCATGAAATAAAGGAAATTGAGGAATTCAGAACAGTTTGTAAATATGAAGTTTGAGCAACTGGGGCTGCTCACCAGGACAGGAGGACTAGCAGAATGCTGTTATTCTTGTCATTTATTTCTATTTCTACTTACTTTATTTGAGAGTTTTCTTCTGTCTGTACTAAACTTGTACAGTAGATTAGACATCTCGGCGGAGATGTCAAATAGGCAGTCATACACAAGTCTGAAGCTCACGAGAGAAATCTTGGCTAGAAACATAAACAATTAGTCATTTGCAAAAAAAAATATGTCTTCAGAGTCACATATCTGAATGAGTTTCACTGGAAGGAGAAAGCTGTCATGAAAAAAGGGAATCTAGAATCACTCTTTATCCTCCCCCTTCTCTCTCTCTCTCTCTCTCTCTCTCTCTCTCTCTCTCATATTTAGAATTTGAGAGGATAAAGAAGAGTCAGAAAAATCATCTAGGACACAGTAGTCAGTAAAACAGAAGAAAAAATCAGGAAATAATGAAGGGTCCCAAAGGAAATTAAATAATCCTAAAAGTTAAAGTTAAATAAATTTGGGGACATGAACGTAGGATATTATTGACTTGATGAGAGCCTCTAGGATCATGGAACACAGGCCACAGCAAGACTTGCATGTTAAACAGAACGTGTAAATCAGAAGAAATCAAGACACCTCTGTCTATCATCTATTGAGTGATTGGTTGATCACCTGGTCTTAATCTTCTTTCTGCTGCATTGTCTATAACACAATGTCACAGACTGGGTAAGTTATACAGGAAGGATTTACTGTGGCTCATGGTTCCAGTCCAAGGTCAAGGGGCCACTCCTGTAAACTAATGCCTTCTTACTGGCAGAATCCTCCACTGGTTCAGAGCATCACATGGCAGGAGACAGGGAGAAAGGCCTAGCCAACCTGGCTGTTATAGCAGTGAAGCCAGAATTGGCAGGCAGGCAATATAGATAGGTAATTCGAGTCAGGTCAAGGAGGCCAATTTGAGTGAGTCTAGAAAGTTGGAGACCACCCCCTGAGGGACTGAAATTCCTTCAAAGCCCTTCCTCCACCCTTATCAAGAACCTGCCCAGGCTCCAATCTGTTGCTAAAATAATCTGTCCCAGGAATTGCAGCTTCCTACAGGGAGCTATAAAGTTGTTAATATAGTGTCCTGGGCTGCTCCATCCTGCCCTTCCCACTTCAGCCCACCTGGTTCCCACCTTTTGGCCATCCCACTGAGCATTTCCTGGGCCTAGTAAGTATGCAGGAAGGTGAAAGATAAGGGGAAGGGGGCAGGAGAACAAAGAAAGCCTAAGACATATAAAAAGGGCAGAAGGCTTCACTTTTTGGGATACGAGGATACCAGCTATGACCCCCTTCTCTCTCCTGGGAGAAGTCTGTGTGACCCCTTTTTAAATAAACTCTGCTTTATATGCTTCCGTAATGCTTCTCTAATGTTCAAACTTCAACATGTGAGGGAACAGAACTGGTCACTGGTAACGGGCAGTACCAGCAGGTCCACTCTTGAGATGACCTGTGAAGGTATTAACCCACTAATCCCATGAATGGAGTAATCTGTTCACAAGGCAGGGCCCTAGTCATCTCTTAAAGGTCCCACTGAGTTCTATCTCATATTATCTCATAACAGATATTAAATTTCAACATGTGTTTCAGAGAGGACAAACCTTATTCATACCATCATACCATCCTATCATCCATCTACTCTTCTCTATCTATCCATTTGTCTTTCCATCTATCCTAGCATCTGTCCATTCATCCATGTGTCAATCTACCTATACCTTGGGAGAGGACACTCAGGAAAGAGACCTAGAGAACTGATGATGTCTAGTATTCTTCCAGGCAAGTATGGTTTAAAGTAACTGTTACATGCCCAAGTGGTGATGTCAGGAAATAGTTAAACACTCCAGAAAGAGATGTGGCCTTGGGATAAATGATCCAGGAAACAGTCCGATGCATAGAAGTGAGTGCAGCCACTAAGCAAAGGCTACATGGGGAAAGAGGAAGAGTCCAGAGAAAGCCAAATGGTAAGGGACAGAATGAGAGTAATGAGAGGAACCAGAGAGCAAATAGAGGATTTCCTCAGAGATCCAATTCAAGGACCAGGCTGATAAGCTGCAAGATGAATTTCAGAGTTTATTTAAACAAATTCAAATCAAGCCCCAGGATGCAAGAAGTAAAAGCATCCCCATTATAATTTGTTATTACAAATGAATCACCCATGTCTTCAGGCCACAGCCCTGCAGCAGGTGCACCCCTGGATGTACCCAATGAGGCGATCTCCAGCAGCATCGCAGCCCCTCAGGAGGGCTGACCTGCCTCCTTTCTGATAAATTATAAGGTCTTCTTCTCCTGGGAGACTGTAAAGAGAAATGAGATGAGAGATGAAAAGTGCCTGAAGTGTTACATCAGGGGCTCTTTGTGGTTCTCCTCTAAGAAAAGATATGAGGCTTGGAAGAAGAACCAAAGCTAAGGAAGACAGGGTATGAAAAGTGAGGGAAAAAATAAAACATCTTTTAATATGCTTTAAGTCAAAACAGTCTATGAATAATTATTATTCTTTATAAAAGTTCCACTTTGCTGGTTTGGAAAAGGCTGATTGGATTATGTGCCCAGGAACAATGACCTAGTTATCTTACCCTTGCAAGACCTTTCTCTGTGGTGCTAGAACCCAGACAATAACTCATTCCCATAAGAAATCACTGGACTCACAGGCAATGCTCAGAGACACATACACTGCCATGGCTGCGTGGTCTACTGGCCAAGAACCTACATGGGAAGACCCTCTGTCACAACCACAAGGACCATGCCCAGTCTCTTTCCTCCATCTTCCTGTCTCTCTGAGAGGCCCCTCCTGGGCTTCCCCCTGGGGCCCTGACACAGTCAACTAGGTGAGCTTAATTCAGAGACTTTCATCCAATCTTCTCTGCTTTCTGCTTCTCTCCTCAACACAGAGGGGGCCATTGTTACCCCTGAGGATAGATGAGGAAAGAGAAAAAAGGAATGGAGACAGAAACTACTAGTTAGTATCTGAAAATGTATTCCACCACTGCAAGACTAATCCCAGGTCCAGCTTCCCTTCAGATAAATATTACCACTGTCTTTTCTTTATACTGCAACTACTTTTGTTTTCTTCATTTCCTGGAAATTTTCATGTTAAGCATTTTTAGGTTACCCCATTATTTTCTGTGACCTTGACTTCAAATCTTTTCCCTCCACAATCTTAGTTCTGCTGCCCACGCAGCACTTTTTCTTTTTCTTTTCTTTTTTCTTTTTTTTTTTTTTTTTGATTCTTGAATACTTTTCTAGAAAAAAAAAAAAGCCATGTTAGGCATCATATTCTCTTCCCACAAAAGTTTGATTAAATCAACAGAAATGACTGAAAAGTTATTCAAGCCTTCAGTTCAGTAAGCAAATCACAATTGAAATAAAAAACAATGAAAGGGTTTCACACTCAGAAATATGATGTTGATTAAAAGGATCTCTAGGATTTATCTTTCCAAAGTGGGCTCACTATTCAAAGTAATTTACATGAGTAAAAAGTTAGCTTATTAGCTAACTTTTGTAATTATCCTGGTTACAGCTCTGTGTGAACAGAGTGCTGACACTTGATACACCTCTCAGTATCACTGTTAACTGAAAATATCAGAACTTGAGTGAAACTACTTTAAAAATCAAAATGAAAAAAAAAAATATTGTAACCTCTGTAACTAGGTAAGAAAGATAAAATTCAATTAATTTTACCAGAAAATGAGAGAACATGACTCCTTTGATTATTCCTATGGCCATTGTCAAAGGAAGAACATTGTCAAGAGCTACCAAGCACCAATCCCTCCTATCTAAGAGGTTTCAGTTTTGTTCCTCACATTACATTACTGCTGATCCTTCTAGCTAGCAAACTGGTCCTCAGTAATGGCTTAAATATGTTTTGATAAAAATTCACTGATACAGATATATTTGTGGACCAAAAACTTCTAAGTAGTTCCTTTAAAATAATGACCGCATTTTAGAATATGAGAATTCAATGGTAAATAAGATTTAAAGTTCCTGTTGTATGTGAAAGCATTTTTCTCTTTTAACTTAGTATTCACTAAAGTAATGCAAAATTTATTTAGGCAATGCTATTTGATTTCTTAGAACTACAGCAACTGAAAATTTCTTAGCAGTACAGGATTTCCTCGTTTTTAAGAAAGCCACATACATCAAATACACATCGCTAACTCTAAGCTGTGATCAATCTGATGAGTAGAGACCAGTTATGCAGACTGCTTTATTAGAGTTTTTTGTTGTTGTTTTTAATCGAGTTTAGAATTTTTTTTTTTTTTCATTTACTGGAAGAGTGATTGGGAGGCTTAAGGTTTGGCTCCAGGACATCAAATGCAAGATCTCCCCATGGGCTTTTTGTTTTGTTTTGATTCTGTTTTGTTTTGTGTTGCTTTTCATGAAGAATAAAGGCAAAGCAACTTTTGGTCAGCTTTCTTCTTGTCAATGAAAGAAAAAAAAAATGCTTCCTTTGTTTCTTTGGAAGTTTCCCTTTCATTATGCACTGAGCTACATGCCACCAAAAGTGAAAATTCTGGAAGGTTCAGAAACATGGTCCCAGGAACCAAGTGGGCATGAGGAGTGCTGTTTAGAATGAGCTGCTACTTTATGATTTATTTTGTGTCTCCAGAGGAAGTGGGTTTGTTTATCTCTGATTGTGCCTTTTTCTTAGTATAATTTGAGCTTCAAGAAAACCCAAGTGTGACCCAACAAAAAAATAAAGGATAAGTTTTTAAAAATCCCATTTGATAGAAAGAGTTATTATTTTGGAATAATAGTTGGCCCTTAGCTTTTCTACTTTGATTCCAAACCCATTTCTCTCTATATAAAAATAAATAAATAGTAAATTAGGCTAAAAAAAAGCAAAAATAGACCTTTCCATTGTAACTATCAATAGCTTTATATATTCTAAGGGGAATTAAGATGAAAAAGTCACCTAGGAATCAGATCGTTTTAATTTTCTTTGATCGATTCTTCTGGAATGGTTTAAATTCTTTTATTTCCATTAATTTTTCATGCTTAGGACATTTCCCAGAAGCTGGGATATACAGTCTCATGTTCTACCATCTGACACAGCCAAACCCATTTTCTCTGGGAAGTTTACCTCTGTTTTTTACTTGGTTTCCAGGTGAAAAGTATTCCCTTGAGGGGAGAGTGTGGCTTTCCTACCTCATGACCTGAAGTTTGTATTATGTTCAGTCAAATTCAAAATATAACCGTAATTTACTGGAAAAAAAAAAGAAGAAGACCTGACCTAAAATCCAGATTCACTATACAAGAACCAGCAGGGTTCATTTGACAAGCAAGCATTTGCTGCGGCCACTCTGAGGAAAGCCCTGTGTTCAGGGCAGGGGAGATGGACACAAAGCCTGTACTCAGGAGCTTCTTCCAGAAGACACAGGAACAGGAACGCAGGCAATTGCATGGTGAAGGTAGGGGGTCTGATCAGCAGAAAAAGAAGCCACCCTCAGCCCGGCCCAGAGCACCAGACCACAATGTATTGGCTCCACAGCTCCCAAATCCTCTCCCCAGAATATGGTAGCTGCTACAGAGTAACAGACGGCAGTGGAAGGGCTATTTAGGTCTAAATTTGTCACCAACAAAAATTGCTGTGATTAAATTACTGATTATGTCATTTTGCTATTTCTCAGGGCAAAAAAAAGCCCTAAAACCAGGAAAGAGCCACTTTTTTTTTCCCCAAATAAACTTTTAACATATTTAAACAAAGTCATAGCCACAATCACATATTGAATATTTATTAACCAAATCTTTTTTCAATCTTCTATTTATCATTTATATTATCCTTCAACACTCAGGCAGAACTAATAAAGACATGAAATCCTACAAAGATGATATTAAAACAAAGAATTAAAACTTATTTTAAATAAGTTCAGAGGCAGGGAAGTCTGTGAATAAATATGTCACATTTAGTTGATCATTAGAAAGAGTGCTAAAAATATGATCTCCTCACCCTAACACAATAATGGAAAGAAATAAAATTTTCTTGAACCTTTTAACCCTAGCCAAGATCTGACACAGAATGCAAAGTTAAGGGCAACCTCATGTTTTTTTCCTAGTTTATAAAGCTGCCAACAAGCATCAAAAGTTTGTAACTAATTTCTTTCTTATATTTTTAAGACCAAAATGTCAGGATCCCAATGGCAGATCAAGGGCACACAGAGACAAGGGAACAGGATGTCCTGGGTACAGGCAATAAGTGGTGTGTTGTCTCAGAGGCTTAAAGACAATATGCAAGCCAGCTGAAAGTAAATCTATTCTTATTCCACTGTGTGCTGGCAGTAGTGCATAACACCAGTGATAAAGTGCTCCTCCTTCCGGAGAAAACCATTCCTGGTCTCATCACCATCATCTTCTGGCTAGATGCATCTCCTGACTATAAAGGCCATCATTTACCAGAAAGGGAACTCCAACATTTTTTTTTAAACATTTATCCACATTATCTCTTCCTAAGAATAATCAGTTGCTTTAATAAAGACATGAAATCTCATTGAAAGCAAACAAATAAACTGTAAAACAGTACTGGGACTTATAGTTACCAGGAGTGTTCACTGTCATTCCCTATTGTAGTTCAGACTTGGGTATCATGTTGTAAGCAAGATTAAAACAGAAATGCAACAGGAATATCCATAATTTAAGGAAAAAAACCCATATTATATAATTGTATACATTTAGCATGTTAAGTGAAACTGATTTTTGAATATATTATTCAAAATATCACCAGAAGCCAGGTGCAGTGGCACATGCCTATAATCTCAGCTGCTCTGGAAGCTGAGGCAGGAGGATTGCAAGTTCAAAGCCAGCCTCAGCAAAAACAAAGTGCTAAGCAACTCAGTGAGACCCAAAGGGGATATCGTGCAGTGGTTGAGGATCCTTGAATTAAAAAAAAAAATCACCAGAAATTTCATTTCATTATTAAAAATAACTTCTGATGGATTTTAATCACCAAGATTAAAAGATATGATAAACTCCATGGTAATTTTGTTGAAATCCACTAATGTAAGTGCTAAACATTTTGAAAGTGACTCTTTTGCAGTTAATGCATTCATTATAGTATGCAGAAACCCACAGCCTTGTGGTTCCAATGTGAAAAGTGTTAGAAAGTTGCCACACCCCAGGCGTGCCATCAGGACACATATGAGAAGGCAGATGAAAGGAGCACATTGAAAGGAACTCGCATTGGCAATCAGACTCTGCAGAAGGTGCAAATGGGATGAGCAGATTTTGCAGTGCTTCACACATAAACATGTATATAGTATGTAGCATGTATACATGTGTGAAGTCAGGGCTTTACATGTGA